CCCCCCCCCCCTCCAATAATGCACCTGCAATGCCTGGACTCTTCCCTTCATGCGTAATCATCTCTTTTATTCTAAGAAACGCATTAACGATTTGACTACAGACTTTTTCCCCACCAATGAACCGATGCTTTCTCTATTCAAATCTTAATGGATTAACTCCAAACATGGATAAATCCCATCGCAGACTGAGAGACTTGAAGGCAACCCCGTAAATAAAAAAAGCCTCCAGCCGTCTGACCATCACCCGGACGCAGAGCGCGTGCAGCCTACTCACACTTGTTGAGAGGAATGAATCCACGCGGGTTAATAAATAGACGCTCCGAATGCGTCCGGGTAAAAGTTTTACCCGGGTAAAAGTTTAATGTTTGACCGCCGGGGGCTGTGACGTTATTCCCGTAAAGACGCGCAGAAGATTCCGGCTCGCCAGCAGGAAACCAAAGCTCGCGCACTCCTCAGCTGGAATGATAGACCAAAAAAAAAAAAAAAAAAGAATAAAGGAGGGGGGAAAAAGTGTAGGAATTTGTGCGAAGAAATGCGAGACATTTGAGGAATGTTATCTGACAGCGAGAGGGAGAGACGGCGCGCAAACAGTGACTTCACATGTTGGAAGCACTGAAAGTTCAGAAAGAGCTTCAAACCGGCTGATCAGGAGCCTTTAGGGGAGAACATCTGTTAGTGGAGCTTACCTGCTCAGAGTCTGTGGACAGCCCGGGCTCACAGCTACAGCAAACACAAAATAACAACAATAACAGTCTAACAATTAACAATAAAAAAATGTCAAAAACTACAGGAAAAAAAAGTGACTGTGTGGTATATATATATATTTTTTTTCTTTTTGCCTTCCTCCTCTTTGTTTGTTTTCTGCTGCCCCGTCTCCTTCCTGGAGCCGATTTGTTTGAAGCGAGAGGAGGGCAGGAATTTCAGGAATTAGCCGTGGTATGACATGAAGCCTGGAAAAAGCCAGAGAAAAAGACTCAGGGAAGGGAAGGAGGGGAGGTCTGACCGGTCCGAGCGTAATGACGAAAACCGAGAGGGGGAGGAAGAGGAGGAGTGCTCTGGAGAAAGGAAAGGAGGGATGAAAGAGGGGAGGAGGGGGGGGGGGGGGGGTGCAAAGGAAATCGCATCAAGAGCCACGATAAGGCAAACCCTGATGAAACCGTCAATGACGTTATTAGAATGGTGACACAGTACTGCAAGAATCACCGGATAAGAATTGATAGTTGTGTATCTGCACATTTTTACACCGATTAAAATCCATTAAGGTTTCTTTTAACCTTAAGTAAGTTAGAAAAAAAACTAACGTTTATTACAGGTCCACATTGTTTTATTTGTTTTTGTTGTTAAATAAAATGGGCGTTTCTTAAGAAGCGTGCCCACATTTTATCCCTCTTTTTCATACACCATGCGTTTGTTTGTTTTACCTTCCTGTCATAAAGCATTAGACATATGATATCTCAAATTAAGTTAGAATTCGGTTAAACTGCCAAAGTTCAAGACGTGCTTGTATAAGGTTATGTATGATTTTCTAAGTGGTTGCGGGCATATTCCAGTGAACGCCAGCTGCCAGCCTTTCCTTTAAGCTCCACATGGGCAGACTGTGATAGTATTGTTGGACTTGGGCATGTTGCACAAGCCATTAAAGCCCCGCAGGTACAATTGTCTGAGATGTGATTCTGAACTTTGGACCCTGCGAAGCAACAAGTGATGAGTCAGAGTTAGCGGCCGTTGGCGCCCCCTGCTGGAGCACCGGGGAACTGCAACGTGGCGGATGATGGGGAGGTTAACGCTCAGAAAGCAGCAGAAAAAAAAGAGTCCTTTCAGGAGGAGCAGTGGAAATCACTGTCAAGGCTTTCAGGTTCTCTGCTGTAGTTTAGAACACCGACATGAAATGTTTTTTTTTTACATGTCTCTTACTACATCTTGACCACGGTGTTGTATTCTTCTGCATTTTGTCTTTTTAACTTATTTGTAATTCATGGTTTTCTTTCGCAACACTTTCGGTTGTAATCTGCTATCTGCTGCTCTTAAAAAAAGTGTTTCTTCTTCATTCTGTGAGCTACTATACATTTTAGATTGTACCACTTTTTCTTTTAACTCAAAACACTGTGCATATAACAAGACTGGATAAAAAGAATACTCTCGGAGGGGAACAAAAGGGGGAGACATTGTTTTCTTTTCTAAATAAAAATCACTTTATTTATGAAGTCTCATTGCATTTTCAGTTCATCTTAAGAGAATCCTAGATGTTTCTGTAAATCATAATGATAGTGATTGGTCTTACATGCACACAATTCTTTAGTTCTAGCTCCACATCCTCCTTTAAATTATTCGCATGGACTTCCTTCTCACTACGGTGCATATTTGTCTTCATTTATGTAAAAACAGTGGTACATACACCCAATAACCCAAAGTGGCCTATCAACCTTCTGTACTAAACTCTGTTAAATAAAGTGTATTATCAACTACAAGAGATTTTTTTGCACTCATTTGAAGGAAATTGAAAAAAGAGATTAAGTTCGACTAAAGAGTAATATAAATTAACTTAATAGCCTCCTCCTGACAAAGAAGTTGTACTATTGTATTTACACCATTAAAAATACTTGGAATGTAAAGGAACGTTTTTTACAACACCTCAAATCTGTGGTATTCTCCCCGCACAGGTTTTACAAGTGAGGTTAATGACTGAGAACTCTATTGCTAAAACATTTACACTGTGATGTGCTATACAGTGATACACTGTAAGGACAGAGCGTTACATGTAAAACATTTACTGTAGATCTTAAGAACAGATTCTGCTTTTTTGTGTTGGTCTTCACAACACCAACGGAACGTCACGAAAAGAAACAAAAAAAAAAAGCTGCAAGATAAACCCCAATGTTTCCCAGCTATGAATCTGGGTCATTTTGAGGACTCTTCAATTGTTCTGACTTCATTTGTTCACTTTCTCCATCGGTACACTCTCCAAGTGCAGGATATGGATCTCCTTTATCTCTCTTTCTCTGAAGGCAGCTTAACTCCGTGTCTCATTTCTTGGAAAGGAATTTCATCTTATTTCCTGGGAGGAAAAAACACATGTACAGTCATTTGACTTAAATCCGTTTGACCGACAAGCTGACCATCTGGTTAGCTTTTTGCTGCGCTGTGAGTCTCACCGAGGCCCTTGAGGAACTTGTTGACGCCTCTTTGCTCACTCCCAGGAAGTGAGTCGAGATATTCTTGTGCTCGCACCTCAAAGAGACCTGGACACAAAATGCTCAAAAGGTTTTTCTGAACTCGTCTAGGACAATTTTCACTAACACCAACTAGATATGCTCATATTGTCCAGATGTACCTCCTCTAAGGCTTGAGGGGATGTCATTTAAGAGGAAAATACATACCGCTTTCAAACAAAGATTATAATCTAAAGTCAGTTAGTTATTTAAATGAGCAAAAAACAAAGAAAGACATCTTAAGTGTACTGGAACAGTAATAAAACTCAATACCTCTCAGGCCCTGCCTGCGTAGCTCCCTCTCCTGGATGAAGCCCGTGAACATCTGGGTTTCCATGAATACCTCCAAAAACCTTCTCAAGCTCTTAGAGGTGACCGCTTTGCGAAAGGCCTCCCGCTGAAAGGTTGACGGCGAGGAAGAGGAAGGGCTGGCCAGGGTGGGGGAGGAGACTGACTCGTCCTCCCGCTCCACTCCACCCAAGAAGAGGGAGTAGTGACCCACCATCTCCACGAAGAAACGCACAAAGGCCTCAGAGACCACAGTGCTGAGTGAGCTGGAGTCTGGAGTGACACACGGCAGAAACGTCTCAGAGAAGGATTTAATTTTTAATCATCTCTTCAAATAAATCAAACCGATTGTTTTCCCACCAAAGTTTAAATAACAAAAAATATTAAATTATCTTAGCTTTCTTACATACGTAAATATATATATATATATATATATATATAACTAAATATATATTTATAACTAAGTTTAGGGCCTGAGCCTGATATCTCTAGATGGATAAAGGCAGGGAGATTCTACCATACTACCAAAGAGAACATCTTTTTTTGTTGTTGTTGTGACATGTTTTTTTAGACTCTACTACATTTCTGTTGAGTCTAATCCTGCCTTAATGCCCCTTTAATACATACACAGTAGATTTAAATCTCCAGAATCCTGTAAAACATGAAGTGTTAGAGTGTACGGAAGCTTTCTGGTCACATGCTGAAGTCCTGGAGAGTAAACATGTTGCCAAATAGAGCTGTCATGGAAAAAAATATTCAGCCTATCAATGAGTGGGATCAACTTTCAGCAAACGAGTCTAAAATATATCACTTTAAATGTTAAGATAAAGGACATAAGAAATTGAAGCAAAATTATGACATTTGCAACAAGACTGTGAGATTATTGTTGAAAAGTTATGCAAAACTACTTCTTGAAAAGAAGTGGGAACTGTCTGTCTTTGATATGTTTTGTTGTTCCTATAAAACTACAGGTACATAGTGCATATTCACCAAGACATAGTGCAGAATCACCATTGGGCACATCTCCTTTCTCGCAGGCCAGCTCCCTCCTTTTGTCTAGCACGTGCTCCAGAGCTGCCTGCAACTTGTGAGGAAGAATGGAGTCTTCATCATCCATCTGTGAAGAGAACAAAACAAACAAAAAGAGCTGGCACTAATCCATGAATAACACATCACTGTCCTGGTAACATCTAACCCAGTTGCTACATGTGTGCGGCGGCGACCACACACAGATTTTAACAGTGCTCTCTTCTGGTTTCCATAGTTACTACCTGACGAAGGAAGCGGCTGTTCCCGAGGTCAACCACCAGGACCTGAGCAAAGGGAGAGGGATATCATTTCCTGCAGCTATTGTTCAGTGGAGGAAATGCCCGGAGTGTAAGGGCAGCCTCAGGCAGCAAGTTGCCAAACAAATAAAAATGTCTTTTCTTACTTCTTCTATGGGCAGCTCTTTGAGTCGAGGTAGAGAGCTGGAAAGGAGGCCCACTATAAAGGGAGTTGGAGTGCAGACTATGTCCAACATGGATGGCGGCAGAACGGGAATGTAGGTGTGCTGCCAGGTGAAGGGATAGAGCAGAGCCACTACCGCATGACAGCACTGGGACAGCGTGCTGTGGAAGCACAAATAAAAATGGCAGCGGCTGTATCAAAATGAAATACATACTGTTGTAAACTGTCAAACCTTTGAATGAAAATGACAGAATAAAAAAAAACTGAAAAAAAACAAAACCTCAAATAAATATCTATCTATGAAACAAAAAAAAAACATTCCAACATTCAAAAGGAATTCTGAGAAGGTGGCTCTTTGCAAGCTCTAAAAGACACGTCTGATATACACCACACGGTGGTGCTAACTTCCTCCAGAAAATAACCCCACAAGTTAAAACAGATCCTTTGCTCCTTTAAGAAAAATGTTAAGAGAAGCAAAATGAAAACTTTGCAGTGGCAACAGACCCACTCTCACAAAGTGTTCAGTCAAACAATTCCATTTATATGTGAAAAAATACACTGCACAGAAGAGGACTCGCTTTTTATTAGAAATACTTCAGATGTTTTTTTCTGAAATGACATGATATATGTGAAAAATGGGAAGGACACAACAGTAAGCAATGCTATTAGTTCCAAAGCATTAAGTCTCAGGTGCTTACTGAAGGGTCAGAGAAAAGGTCTGGTCGGAAAAACTGCTTCTGCTGATCCCAGTGTGCCAGAACAGTTTGAGGAACGTGTCACCTAGGATTTGGTTTGAGTGATTTATTCGTCTAACCATATTCAAAACATAATTTATGTATGTTTTAATTCCAAAATGGGAAGTGGGTAAAAGTTTTGAGCTAACCCAGAAGGCTGAGGGTCAGTGTTGTTTTTGTCACTGCACTGCCGTTCTGGACTTATGCTCTAAAGCACTGGCATCCACGACCATTTTCCAGAGGAGAACTGATTGCTCCCCAAACTACTGTGTAACACAACAACATTCCTTCCCCTCACACTTGTATGTGATCCGCTTTTCCCCAGACTGCTTGTCATGTTGAAGCCTCTTTGACATATCCTCCAATCTTGTCCCTTTTTTAGCATCACGACTCCACCTTCATTATCTTTTACCAGCCAAGATTATTATATAATTTCCAGGGCTGTGATGACTAAAATTGGCCCAGAGTTGATCCTTGTCATATATTCAGTCAGCTGATGCGCATTAAGCATGTGATCTTTTTCAGGATAGAAATCAAGCCAGTGGCTACGCTCTGTAACCGTATTTTGCTGGAACCAACCTGAGTTTGTCAGCAGTGAAGATGACCCTGCGCTCCAGCAGCAGGGAGGCAAAAACCCGAAGGAGGAGGCGGAGATTCAAAGAAGAGAAGAGGCACTCAAAGTCCACGTGTTCAAGACGAGAATCTGATGGTCGACACAGCTCAATCACCTGTTGTTAGAAAAGAGCGCGGGGGCACGACGGGAGAAAAGATATGAATAATAGATGAATACATGATTGATATACTAGTGGGTAAGAAAGCAAATGCAACAATCCAAAGAGACACCAGCGCCAGCTCACCTCTGTCCCAGAGCCTGGTAAAAAGTTTTTGACAGTGATAGTCCGGCCTGGAGCGGGGAACGGAGCCTCCATGATGCCTCGCATAAAAGGCTGCACCAGAGCAGGAGAAATAGCTCTCCTCTTTTCCACTTCATCCAAGATCTGGAAAAGCCAGAGGTGCACATTTGGAATGAAATGCCAGAGTTTTCACCTTTAACAACCCTGTTTAAAAACACAAGAAGCTGTACGGGGTTGAACCAGACATGGGTCCAATCACCGTTTCTGTTTTGTTCAACCTTATTCATATTAACTGAGATGATATAAGAGGATCTAGTTCCCATCAGGATATTTTTGGTTTGCAGGACCATTGAAATTAGCAAAACTGCCATATGAATAAAGTGAAAAGAAGTGGCAGCTTTTCAGTTTGGGCCTGTGATAGTGCAATATGTCACATTTGTCATCTGTTACAATGGTAACAAGTCTACTCTTAAGCATAAACAAATGAGTGGATTAGCCATGTTGTTTCAATCAGAAAAAGTAGTACCCAAAAACCTGGAGTCACTTAACAGCGTATTTGGCAAGGAGGATAGACTGAACGCTTTGTAACACAGCACCTGTGAGAAGACTACTGTTGTCCCATCAGGTGAGACTAAGAGTTCTGAATTTGAACCCAAGGATCACTTTGAAACAATCAGCTTTCTACTCAGTGCAGATCAGGCCCAACTCTCAAGGGTCCCCTGACAAAAGGCAAAATTCCCTACTATCTATAAACGAACAGCTGAAAAGATGAAGGACTCATGTAATCTCATCTCTTTCTTTATTTTCCTCAGTCACACCCAACATTACCCACGCTGTTTTTCCCCTTATTTTGGCCCAAATCAAACATGAAGAAACACAGCCAACTGCCCAAATGTGTAATGCCTTCTTTTCTGAGCATACCGTACACATCTGTGGACCATTACACATTTCTGTAGCTGAAACTCATTCAGAAAGAACTCCATGTCCACTTACGCATCGGTACGAATCCAACTTTAGCAGTGGCTTATGTACGCTCCAAAGACATCTGAAGTTTAATATGTAGATAAATCTAAGGCTCATTACAGGGAGCCTCTGCCACAGTAGCAACCGCATCAGCTGCATTTCATTTGTGTTGCAGGACTGGAGCCAGGACTTCAGGGCTCTGTGGGATGTGGACCAGGAAGAGGGTGGGTGGGTCTCTGTGAGCACCAAGGGTGGTACATTTTCCCAGAGGGGAGGGGGGGGGGGTAAGGTTCTGTGTGATTCTCTACATTATGTGCAGCAGACGTATATAAGCGGTGGATCTGAGCACACCTACCTTGGAGAAGAGGTCAAAGCACCCCAGGCGACTAACGATACAATAGACTTCCGGGAGCCTTCGGCCTTTACCACTGGGCTGTAAATGGTCAGAGAGAAAAAGATATACTGCTTCAGAACACAGCGTTAGAGCAGTGTAGAAAATCAAAGCTTTTGTCTTCTCAAGTACATTGTGGAGGAAAAAATGAAAAGACACACACTAGTGCGTTTGACCAAATGAAAGTGAAGTGAAGACAGGGTAAAGGAGCAAAGGTTGAAGTGTGGACTAATAGATCAGAGATTCATAAGAAAAGGCATTTTTGAAGCATACCAATAAACGGCGACAGTAGCCAAACCGCCTGCTTCCATCTTCCCCAGTCAGAACAAATGAGAATGTCTCACTGGGGATGCAAAAACAGGGAAAAAACATAACTGATCTAAATCTTTCAAAATCACACTAAAAAGCAAAACTGCAAACAAGTCCTGACGTTGCACTTGACAGTAGAGACCCTCAGGACGGGCTTGTGCTGCGGTGCCCCCAGGGCCCCTGCCTGACAGGTACACATTAACTGGAGACTCTCGTGGTACGAGAGAAAGTCAGACAGTTCGGTGCAGGTGGGCTTGGTGACCCATCTAACACCCATCAAACATTTTCTTCCAACTAATCATTAACTGTCACCATTATGTCATTCCTAATAGCTTCTTAGAACAATGCAGGCTTTGACTGGAGGTGTTGGCTAAGAGATCGGTTTAAGCAGCAAACAAAGGGAGTTGACTTTTTCACAATAAAGCAGGTGTTTTGTGTTAAATCCAACCTGCCTTCGTGTGAATCATGTGTGTTTTTCTGTGCTTTTTAACTAATGAAAGAGCCGTCATCTTGACAAGCCATTAGGTCATTTCTTTCGGGGCCTTCGGCTGTTTCACTGCCAGGTGATTATTGGCCACAGAAACAGCTGAGCTTTTACAACCGATTTGGAAAATTCCAGTGTCCCTGTTTTGCTTTATTCCTTGATGTTCTAAATTGCTGTGGCAACTCTCAGACTGACCTCGGGAAGTTTTCGACTGGCGCCCAGTCTTTGGCGTCAGGGAAACAGAACTGAGGAATAACCTTTAGCTGGTCCTCAGTCTCTCGCATGAACTTAAAACTCCTCTCAAGCTGAGTAAGAAAATAGAAAACACACTTCATATAATCAACACACCTAGATGAATCATACCCTTAACGGCTGACATCATTGTTGTTCGATAAACAGATTTTACAGATTATCAACAGGACTAAAACTGAACTGTCATTTGTGCATTTAAATTCATTAAATCCTCAATTCTTTAAGTAACACTGAACTATGAACCTCTAACATTATTTAAAAAAAGATTTCCTTGAATGTTTTGGCAATATCCCAATATATCAAAAGTATAACGTGATTTCTTCGGATTTTCTAATAATATAATATAATATAATATATAATCCATCCGTTCTGACAAAAATCCAAAACGTCTTTGATTTATTTTATCAGTAACTTTCTTGTCCTTCTTCACCTTTAAAGGAAACTGTTGTGTGACTTCTGGCAGGTATGGAACTCCAGCTTTAGTCTTGTGGAGTGCAACCACTATAAAATACTCGAAGAGTTTCCTCTCTTGTAACTCCATTAAGTCCCGCTCCAAGGTCCGGTAGCGCTCCGCCTGCCTCAGCATGGACTGGACTGACACAAGCCGCTGGCTATGAGCTACAGAGTACAGATTTACATTAGAATCATTGGTATCATCCACACACATTTACACAGTGAAATAAATCAGAATCATCCGTCAGTATACTATGAAGAAATCTTATTATCTATTTGTGTACATTAACAAATTAGATGTCCAACATAAAGAAAAAAAACAAAAGTAAAGAAATTTATATCCATTATCTTGATATGGGTGAAGACGTTTGATAAAAGCACCGGTAGGTGCGCAATTTAGCTTGTGTGCGTGCACTTCTTTTGTGTTCTGACCTTTTAGTTTCTCCTCGGTGTCACTTTCTGACTCACTGTTCTCATCCGTCACTGCGTAAAAACGATGTCAGAGTGAAGAAGAAAGAAGTTATGGTTGGCCGATATAGTTCCCATCAATATATTTGCACACTTGCATGAAAATCAAATTAATTCTTTCAAATATATGGATACATGTGTGGAAAGGGCTATATTAGCAAATGTTATCTTTCTTTCTTACATGAACAATCACAAGTTAACAAATTCACCACTGGTGATTCATATTTACATTCAAGTGGACGTGACAAAATGCTTCAGTGGCTAAAAAAATGCTTCTGTTGAAAAATAACCGAAGCCCCACCTTTCCCTGAGCTGGACTCGTTCGATTGAGATACCCTCTTCATGCGTTTCTTCCCTCGGCGCGCCTCGAAGATCCCATTGATTTTCAGCACCATCTGCACCGGTTAAGAGTAAACGCACGTCTCTATTAAACTCCTGAAGCCATTTTACCAGGCTTGAAACAAAAACATTTCAATCTCGCCTCATTGGGCCAAAAATGTTCCTAAGCATCACTCAGCTCCTGTTGGCTGCATGAGTGGACCAGCTCCAAACCTCCCAAATCAAGTGTGCCTGGCCGTGGATAACAGAGCACGGGCTTACTGCACCAGACCTCTCCCGCTTCCATACCTTGGGGATTTTCCTCCGCCTGCGATTGTAAGGGTCCCCCGAGAGACAGGGGGTGTCGTCAGGGCTGCTGGGTGTTGAGGGGGGGCTGATACGAGAAGGAGAGGAGATGCCAGTGTCTCTGCCGGTTTTGCGGAGTTCTGGAACTTTGAAGCTGCGTCGCTCTGAGTTTTGCCTGAAGAAGCCAGGAGGCTTGCAGGATAGCTGGTGATGACAGACCCACAGAGGGGTTTTACATGGAACCAGTTCAGCTCACTCGATTCTAAGAATGACATGCCGGCAATAAGATACCTTAGTTGGTGTGTCTGGGACAGGGGATGAAGAAGCAGGTGAAACACATTTGCTCCCCAAACAACTTCGCTCCAGCTCTATGTCTTCATACGGGTTCTCCTTGGATGGCGGATCTTTGGAAAGGGAATTTGTGTTTTTTTGTCAAAAACAAGAAATCACTGTCAGCTGGGTTGCAAGATACCCTCAATAACCTGGCCTGTCCAGAGAACAGATGAGTACTCTTTCCATATCAGTCATGTTTGCTTTGCCAGATGATTCCTCCTCCAGATGTGCGGAGAGCTAGTTGAGGCAACAGTGTGCTAACCCAGCTCATATTTTATTTCGAAAAAATATGTTTGCATAGCGAAGACAAAATGTAGCCACAAGCCCTCCCTTTGCATATATCGAGTAGCCTAGTTTTCCCAAATCTGTGCCTCTTTCTTGCTTTGTTTCTGCCTGCCTGTATCTATCCCCTGCTTTATCAATCCATCCACCAGATGTGACCTGTAAGTGTGGGCAAACAAAGAGGGACGGTTAGCTCCCTGCTTCTTCTACTTCTCCCTTGAAGGAAAGAACGGGATCAGTGTGCTGTTTTCCACATTGCAACTATTCATATGTGACTGTGCATCAGTGTTAAAGGATACGCACTCTGGTTACAGATCCCTTTCCCTCAGTGTAAAAAAAGAAAAGCTCAGTGATGCTGACTTTAAAACAAATCCGCAGTTGAACTTGAACAACAGCACAGATATTCCTCATCAGCATTATCCATTTCAATTAGAGGAGTTACTTTGCCCACGGGATTCTGGTAAGTGTCTGGGAACAATGTCTTCATGTTTTAAACCAACTTTACATCTGTTTGAAACCAGGAAATTATAAACAGAGCTGAAATAATCTGTGGCGTGACTCAAATATAGTCAAGTTAATTGATTGCTGCCAGAAAATCATTTCTTTCTAACCGCCGATGACTTGCATGCAAACCAAAGACACATTGAAGCAGTTGCCTCGAATGTAGCGTGGCCCTGGGCCATTGGCATGCCCTCTGCATCACTAACAGTTACTCTCTCCAACCTCAGCTCCAACACAACCTCACACAACGCCGCTATTGTACATTATGAAATTAAACAGGCTCTAGGTGGGGCTGGCATAACACTGCAGACAATAAGTAGCATAGCTCAGGTTTCCACATACAGCTTTTAATAAAAGGGAAGCTGCATGTCTCTAAATTAAAACTGGAGTAGTATAAACAGAGCACACTCCGCTGCTGAACTCTGTGACACACACCGGTATGAGAAACTCAGTGGTCAGACAGAGCAGTGGGGCTACGTCTTTGCTTTCTGCATATACGTTTATGGTTTATAGAGTTTTAACATTTTGAAAGTCTGTACCAGAATTGGCATGTTTTCCATTGAGACAATTCGAAAGGTGTAATTTTACCTATTATGTCCTCGTAGACATTTTCTTCCGATAAAGTGCATGAAAGGCCCAGTCTGGATTGAGCATACCAGTCCACCCGGCAGCTCTCTGAGGAGGACTGTAGCAAATCTTCAAATTCATAGGACTTCCTGGTGGGCAGAGGAGCACAAAGACTTTGGAGAGCACATCCAACATCCAAAACCATGGAGGAGAAAGAGAAAATACCTTTGACCGGATGTCTCTATATGAATGTGTGTCATGTTGGACTTTCTATTTATTTATCTATTTAGATATTCAAGTACGCACTAAATTTACAAGCAGCAACATCAGCATGATCACACTGTGTTATGTAACTGCCAGAGAACAGAGCTCAGTTGAATCATGTACAGAATGTCCATGACTGGGTACATTCCTACATGAAAGGACATATATTGAAAAGAAAAAGAAACTGTCGTATGCCAGAAAAGATCTTGGCTTACACCTACGATGGAATTGTAAAAAAGTAACATTTTCAGTTTTTTTTTGCCTTCATAATGCAGCCACTTCAACTGGTTTTGATAAATCTTTTTTACTTCCGCTTTTCATTTGCACTGGATTTAGACTTCCCGCAGCACCATGCCTGCACTATTCTTTCTACATAAAATCAAACACATTTAAAAGCATTAGCACCTTACTCAGGAGACAGGTTCAACATTAAAACTTAATAACTAGATAAGTAATTTCTTATTGAGCCCTCAGATATAAACGCTGTGCTGCATTGCACTGTGCAATGGACGCTCAGCTGGGAGAAAAGCCCAACCAAACGAAAGATTTGACACTGTATGCTTGAGCAGAGCGAGGCCTCCACATATGGTATGGAATGTAATAGATCCAAGCCAAGCTGCAAAAAAGAATGAAGGTCACAGGAGAAAGTGAACAATAGATGTGCTTCAATGCTTCAGTGTTCTCTTTTGTGTGTTTATTTCCCTACAGAGCTCTTTTTCATTTGATTGCAAACATCTGAATTCAAGCAGTGTGGAGAACTAAAGGTTCAAGTAAGTTAACTGTTGAGTAAGTGTTTTAGATTCTGGAAGAGATTTCATATTACAACTTTTTGAAATCAAAATTCCATAAACCAGGTCCCCAAGTAAATATTTGTTTTAGCCTAAGGTCTTGCACAACACTTTTCACTATTAAGCCTGACTTTTTTTTCCAAAGCAAGGGGGCCTCCATGATATGGCTTACACAACTGCACATGATGTTCTCTTTTTCCAGTAGAGTTTTGGAAAGAGGAATGAGTTGATGTGTACATTCCTCAGACACAACCACTGAGCTCATATTGCGGGGTGTTTAGAGGCAGGATGAAGTCACCGGTGTTTTTGATTTACTGCAGATGTGGGAGATGTTGTGCACCTCAGCTTGGTTCATTTTGATGGGGAGGCAGTTAAAAGGATGGGCACGTGAGGCTATCGAAGGCTGAGGCTGATTTCGCAGTTAGGTTTTTCATGTTTTTGAACAGTTTGCTTTGGATTTGGGGAGATCAGGCTTTTTAGAATGGCTTATTAACAGATAATGTATGATTATCGAGCTCCAGCTGGGGTTGAAGAGCACAGGCTTCATGTATCCCACTGGACATTGGTCATCCTGTCTCTGGCAGCGTCTTACCTGTTATTACTGTCACGGGCTTTGTCGGCCCAAGGCCGTCTGCACACTCCTGGGGGAGGGCACGTTGGTAAAGGTGGAGGAGGAATGGAGGGCAACGGAGGCAAGTTCCTCTTTCCCTTTCCAGGTCCAGGCCCTGAGGCCGTTGTAGAGGGTGGCGTGTGATGTTGGAAGGTTCTTTGGGGTTTAGGTAGAGGGTTAATAGATGGAGCGCCTGGCTCACTGTACACATTCTCTGAATTCCCCTCCCGTCTCCGCCATGACCCACTTGGTCGAGCCATGTCAAAAGTCCCAAAAATGGGCTCATTGGCCTTCTTCTCTGTTTCTTCCAGTTCCTCCTTTGAAGGAGGACTGAAATAATTCCCTGGAAATGCTAATGAAGGTCTGTCAGGAACTTCCTTTGTCGCCCTCTCCAGTTTCTTCACGTGTGTCAAAACAGTTTTCTTATCTTGGGGTTGTTCAGTTGTCTTGGAAGCATGACTTCCCCTATCTTGCATTGCTTCTCTCTCTTTGTTTGTTGAGCCCTCTTGGGATTTAGGCCTCGAATCAGTCAGCTTTCCAACATTCTCCTTCCCTGAGTCTTGTCTGTCCCAGCTGACAAACCTCTTGCTGTCTGTCCTCTGGACCTCGGAGGTTTTGGATTCCTTCTTTCCCACCGTCTCAACCTCCTTCTGTGTCGCACTGAGGGGGGATGTCACGGTGGGAGCCACGGGAGTGGGCTCTTTCTTGCCCTCCCACTGAGATATCTTATCACGAATACTGGTGGTCCTGGTTCCTGTCGAGCTCTTGTTGTGGTTCAGCCCATTCTCCATGTTAGACGTCCGGGGGTCACTGTTGGCTGTGGGTCTTCTGTGAGCCAGCATGGTGTCCTGAGGGCCCGGGCTGCCGCTCAGGCTGAGGAGAGAGGAGAGGGGATGCTTCCCAGTCACAGCAGTGTCCCTCCCGTCTCTGTCCCCTGGTGACCCACACACCACTTGAGGCTGGGGCACCACAGACGATGGAGCCTCCCCAACTTTCACGCCACAGCACTGCAGCCTTACAAAGAAACAAAAAGGAAAATCAACATAGGGGTTCATTACAAACAAAATTAATTAATGAGGGAAGTTTTTAGCTCTAATTTCTTTGGCGTGCAGTCACTCTCACAGAGAAACCAGTTGCCTGTGCACAGGACAGCACCGTGCACCCGTAAAGTCACTGAGTACTTCCAATCCTCATTGAATAAGCTAAGACATTTCTTTGCTATGTCTGTTTCAGCTGTGAGTCATTCACAGAGCTTAACTGGGTCATGACTGTTTGAACTGAAGGTTTCAGGGTCAAAGTTTACGAGTTACACACACAGCTATTTTGGGAGAGCAGATAAAGTACACAAAAACAAGGGGAGAGGCCGGATTGCCGACGTGCATCTTTTCTTTGCTGCTCCTGACCCACTAAACTCTGTTCTGGCCCAGAGCCCATTCATCAAATGATTGAATTTCCAACAAACAGAGGAAGCACAGCCTTGCTGGGCGACTTTTGATGACAAAGCTGAATGTGAAAACCAACAGCCAGCCTATCTAGATGAAATCTCCAGGGGTGATTAACATTTTACATTTCCGAGGGGACCTTTAAAGAAAAAACAAAGAGAAAACTTGATGTTGTAACATAACTACGGAGGAACTAAATCATTCACTTTCAAATTGCTTTGACTTTTATTACTGTGGCCCCATAATGGCTCCCCTTTCTTTTACCGTTCATGCTCCTCGGGTGAGACAGCAGTTTTTATTAGGCACGAAGCAACAGAGGGGAAAAAGTAGGTCAAATAGAAAAGCCAAATAAAAGAGAGCAGGAATAGCACACGAAGCTAAAAGTCTGTTGTGCTCTTCCACACTGAAAATAACTTCTGGTTGGGGTACACAAACCAAAAAGGCTAAAAAGAAGGCAAAAGATCCACAATACAGTAGTTTCTTTTCCATCACATATGGCCGTATATGAATTGTTAATACAGATAAGGGTCAAAGAGTGAAAATTGGATCAAAGGCACTGAAGGAAGCCTGAACGGTTGAGCAGATCAAGAACACAGAACAACAGACAAAGAAATGCCCAACTAGATAGTCCTTTTTGTTGGAACAAAGGAAAATCCTTCTTATTTCAATCTCAACAGCCCTCATGAATACTGCAAGGATGACAGAAGGGCTCTTGTAGAGTATTCATGGAGGTAGTGGACACAGGCAGCAGGGGGGCCACAACACTATCCAGATACCAGATGGCAAACTCTGCCCTGTTCTACTTTCTCGTCTCACCATTGTTGAACACTTGATTTTAAATGGGCAGCAGCAATGCCAGCAAGCTCATGATGAGTTGAGAGCTATGCAACAGTCTCTGTTGACTACATTTCTTTTAATATCTGGCAAGCGCTGCATTGTATGGGATCCTTGTTGTCAGCGGCCGAAGGAGGAGGAGGAGGATGGGCACAGACCGTGGCTTCATGTGTTGAAAATAACAGGTGAATTAGCAGTGCCTTGGGACCAGTGATAACACGCGCAAATAAGTTGCTGCAGCACAGCAGCAGTTGAATTGTCATGAGAAACCTACCCGTTGACGGACTGGTAGATAGAGCTTTCAGAGTTTGTGCAGAGCAGCAGGGCCCTCCCACCAGTCATGGTGCTAGCAGCTGGCATCCTGTGGAGACAGAAACAACGGAACGGGATGGTTAAGGTGCATATGTGGTATGATGGGTACGACGGTGTTTGAAAAGATTAAAAGTCTGTTAAAACACGTGTGTAGGGGGGGGGGCAAAGTAATGGGCATACCCACAGACTGATGTGATGGTTCCATCTAACTACATTTGATATATCTCACCAAAATTTCCTTGAGAAGACCCGGTGTCTGAATATGAAAAGCTAATTGAGCAGCAAAAAAGTATTCGAAAGCTTCCATTGGTTACTTGGTGAGTGATTCAGGGACGCATTTAAAACACACGCCTGACCAAGACCCATAGTAAGTTTAAACAGCCACAACATGTGGCATGGCACCAAAGAAAAGCACAGTGGTGTCAAGAGAGCTACGCATAATCACAGTCCTGTATGTTTTCTGTCTTTTCATGCTTGCCACGTCACATTTATTGCATTTTTCTTTCTTGCCCCTGTGATTTTTTTTTACCTTGTTCATTGTAGAAAACAGCCCCTATTTGTTGTGTGATACTTGTTTGAATTTACTTATGTCCTTTACAAAAGACAAGTTGTCCCACAGCAAACCTGTGCCATTTGTCAGAGCACAAATGTATTTTCCCAGCCATAAAAACTCAAGCGGGGCAGCTTGAGCACCGTGAGCCTGATATTCTCTTTAAACTCGGGGGCACAAATGGCATGAAGAAGCAGAAGGCCCCGACTTTAGTCTGGCAAAAACGCACCTAACGCGGGGGAAAGGGACAGGTCTTACCTTACTTACTTTACTAACTTACCTTTGTTGTTCTCCTGAGTGTATTGTGCAGCCAATTCTGAGACAATAATACATGCATTGCCATCCTGCTGCGTGCTCAGACACAAGACATCTTATTAAGAAGCACACCTACGTAACACCTACGCATCCTGCCAAAGAACCCCCTTGCCAGTCAGCACATGGATTCTGTTTGTGCCACTTCAGCCAGATGTGCCAAGATACTTAGGGGTATCCACAGGCTGTTAAACATTTCGTAAACGCTGTTTGGGCCTGCTCCCCTGACCTTTTCCTTACAAACCTGCGTCTGCTCACCCTGACACCTCTCCTCACTCACCCCAAACTATGTAGAAAATGTGGTGCAGGTTCCACCAGATCCCACAAATTGTAGCTCTAAATGAAAAGAGGCTAAATTGAATGAAAAAACATACAAACAAATTTGTCAATTTGCGTGTGTGTGTGTGGGGGGGGTGACCTGTGTGTTGTCTTTTTTCATCCACATTAACATAAAAGATGGCTATCAGCAACAAGCGCTCTCATTAATAAACATCAAGCTCAATAAGCTACGTTTTAACCTGCAGTTTTGCTCACAGCTTGAGCAAGGCCCCCACCCCAAGAGAGAGGAGGAGAAAATGAGGGAGGGGAAAGGTTTGCGTCTCCAGGCCAAAATGATTTTCAGCTGTGAGCTGAGCAGGGGTCACATGTTTGAGAAGAAACATCAACCAATTTTTTTTGTCTGTCTCCTTCTTGTCATAGCTTTTCTCCTTTGTATAAGCTTACAAAAAAGAAAAAAAACTGAAATTTACCATGGTAGGGGCAGAAGTCGAGGGGGGACCGCAAAGAATGTACAGACTCCTCAAGTTTTACTGCAATCAAATCATAAAACTTTTATGATGTAATTTGTCTGAGCTGGAGGGGCTGCATGTCACAGAGAGGTAGAAACCATAGAAGAAGAAGGCATGATGGATGGGGGTGGGGAGCCGGGGCTTGTCAAAGGTAATTAGGAAAGAGGATATTGCAAAGAATAACATAAGTATAGTGTGGCACTGTGGAAGCAGTCTGTGCTTTAAAGCTGTCCCACTTAATTGTTTACAGCCCTGGGACAAAAAAGAAAGTGCTTGTCTGTGGAGATTTACCTGCATTAAAAGGTAATTTTGGGATTTCACACCATTTTAAGATGAACAGACTTCAGAATATTGTAGACATGGCACATGCAGGCAAGTGGATGGTTTTCTCATTGAACTGGACACACACTAGTCCTATCAAAGCAGGACGCCTCATGACACTGTGAGTCTGTCAGAGTTTGATTTGTGAGGGATATTCCTCCGAGGAAGCTGAGTCTTTTGTCTCCCACAGCTATTAGCAACTTTTGTTAAAACTGACCCCAGAGCAAGATGGCCACCGAAACAATGCAGAGGCTGAGGGAAGCCATCTGCTGAGGCCAATAAAAACATCACGGGAAAGACCTCTGCCCGCCCAGCCCCCTTCAAACTCTGCCCTGTGAGGTGTGACAGGGTGTACATGCCCCAGCAGAGGAAATGGAAGCGGTATTGTTAACCAGCAGCAAGGAGATGACAATAAAACAGTCCTTAGATGGAAAATAAAATCTAATGTTTTACTTCTGTTTGGCATTGGAGGAAATATCAATACTTAGTCATTCCAGTCCTGAATGTCTCCATTTAATGCCATATGTATCATATCCAACAACTTTAAAGGAAAGAAAATAGACAAAACCGTCAAAAATAACCCAGACACTCAGTTCCAGCTGCACATGAAAATGGACATGTCCTCTTTGAACAGCAAACAGTCCTGATGGCACCCAAGACTTGACAAGATAACAATAACGACAGCTGGGGTCAAAAGCAGGGTATCACAGCCAACCATCAGTCTCATGCTAAACTCTGGGAGATGCCTATCGATGAATAGAAACTGGATATCAAAACGTGGACGCATACACAACTGGTGTCTTTTAAGTTTCATTTTGCCACATTTCAACAGGCACATCACTATTCTAAATTTTCCATTCATGCTCATGCTAAAGTATTTTCTCCACTTTTTATGAAGGAATTTAAAAGATATCCAAAGAAAACACAGGCCCTCTTCTCAGTTGACATCTGTATTGCACCATCTTGTTTCTATAGTTCCCCAAAATGGACAAAAAAACAGCAGTGTTGCATGTTCCACGATTGCGGTACTTTTCCCTCCATGCTTGCAATTGGAAGATGATATAAGATTTTTGTTGGTTGCAACTAGTGCTGTGGTTCTGTTGCTATTCAGAAAGAAAGGTTTGAGCATAGGAAAATTGAGAAAGGCAGAAACAAAACATTATTTCTAAAAACAAGATTATGGCGACCCTCCTGAGGTAGTACTGACAAGAGAGATAAAAATGCGTAAAATAGAATACAGAGAAAACTCCATTGTATGCTGTGAAATTGTAAAGCCTTCGCACTTCTGGAAAGGTTCAATGTTGCTTCAATCATTTCTAACCATCCAAACAGAAAGCTATAAAAAGAGACAGATGGACGGCCCTAAAAAGATGTGTTATTTATCACCCGGATACACTTTACAATTCATCTCAAATGCATTTTTTTTGCTTGCTATTCTCCAAATATTAACCTAACAAATGTTAGGAGTCAATGTTTGGTGAAAAAAATGACAAATTCTGCTTCTGAGAGGGATTTTGCGTTATCACACTGAACGCAGGTGGTGCTGTCAGTAATTCATATTTAGCTTTATCAGAACTCTGGGCTGCTGTCGGCAGGCTGTGTGTGGAGGTCCGCCTGCCCCTTCCCTACAGCTGCTTCTCATAAAGGTTTCATCCTCCCCCTCCGTCCCCTCTGTCCAGCTCTGCAGGAACAGCTAACACCATTACATCATCATCATTCCCGGCTTGTTCTCCCCCAAACTGCTCCCTTTTTCTCTGTCATTTCCAAATACCTAAAAAGGGCAAAGTCACACATGGATCCCACTACATCGCACAGTTACTCTCCAAAACCAGAGGGGTCTCCAAACCACTCGCCATACGGGTTGTTCTATTCCTGTTGAAACTATACTCAATAAGGGGAAAATATTATACAAAAAAATGTTAATAATGTAAAAGGAAAGAAGCGGATGTTCGCTTTATTCTCTTTCTTTCTGTACCCATGTTTTAAGACCCCGTTGCCAAGCAAATGTGGTTAAGTGAAGCCATATGCCAAAACTTTATCTGAAATCAATTTAGCATACGGCTGCAGACTTAGCCACTTTATTTTGGAATTACAGGTTTGGCATCTCTTTCTTACTCGTCCTTCAATCTTATATTTCTACCACTTTATTCTTCCTCTATCATTACTCTTCTCTCTTGAAGTTTGAAGACGAAACGTTTTATGGAAGAGATTGTGGAGATTAGGGGAAGTGAAGACTGATGTTTCAGCCTTTTGACTCCCTTTCTTTTTTTATTGAACTGTTCTCATGTTCTCTGCAGTCCTGGAGCACAAATCATTCACAAAAGGTCTATTTGTTTAATATATAGCATGTTTAGCATATCTAACCTGTCTGAAGTAGCGCATCAGGTGTGATTTTTTTAAGGGAATTATCATTCCAAATGTGATTTCTGATCTCTGCAAAGCAAACCCCCAGTTCCTGAAGAATTTAGGGCATTAAATAATTTAATGGCAAAGGAAAGAATGTATGGAGAGGGAAAGGATGAGAAAATGGGGGTAATTTTATTGTAGTTTGTGGTCATCTCTCTTTTTCTCTCTTTGTATCCCACTCAGGACTCCAGCTCCTTTCCCAAGATGATGTCATAGCAAGGCTTAGGACTTCAGCCTGACAGACCAACTCCAATGAGTGTGTATGCATCTTCATGTCTGGTTAGGAATCCTCCCACACATATTGCTATCAATCAGAATGTGCGTTCCGAGCCGAACAAACCAGTTGACATCCACATACAGGGCATGTACTCGCTACCTCTATGCGCTGCTCTCCGCCTCCTCCCATCTCCCTTCATTGTAAGGGAAGAATGAATGTGAGACAGCATCAAAACCGGGTCAGCCACAGGGCCAGACAGGAACTGAAGGGGGATCCTGCAAACAATTAATTTCTCCTCGCCTCTTTTTTTGCCTTATCAAACCATTCTAAATATAACGCAAGTATCCATTGTTGTATGTCTAATGCCACAAATAAAGCTTTTCTTGTTATTGTTGTTTCAAAACAGAAACTTCCAGTCTGGGTGTTTCTGGCAGTTGAAAGAATAGACCAGAGTATTACCATG